GAAGCTACAACAAAAGACGATGGACATCTAGGCTATCTTCAAGGCAAGCGTGGTGGAGGCATCAATCAAAAAATGGAGAGCAACGGCACTAAACACAAAGGGCTTGTTTGGTTGACATAAAAAAATGGAAAATGAGACTTCTGAGCAATTACAAGTTAGGTATGTCATTTGGTTAACAAAATTTTGGTGAATGGGGGTAGTGAAACTTCCCACGAATTTCTTCTTCAAACCCAAATGTAGGAATTTACTTACCTAATCCCACTAGGTAAGTAGAAATTCCCACGAGAAGTTACTTCCCTCATTGTTAACCAAACAATTTTAGGAAATTCCCATGAATTTGTTTGTGGGAATTTGATTCCCATAAATTTGCAATTCATGAGAAGTTCTAATTCATGGGAACTCATTGTCGCCTTCTTACAAAGTCACAACAATAAGCATTTCCTAAACCAAACAACTAACATGATAAGAAATAAATTAAAGTCTCAGTGATAGAATGTGGATTTCAAACTCGAGTTTGTCTTTCGATTAATCCGAGATAGTATGAGGCATAAATAATTGGGATTTCTTACCGAAATTATCACACTAATTCATCCTAGTCATTGAAACAAGGCAACCACAATCATGAAAGGAGTATAATCTAATTGCGCAAGAGAAGACTCACAACCCAACTCCATTTCTCAATGTAAGTATAGGAAGTGAAGTGCATGAGCATAAAGTTAGCCACCAAAATACACATGCAAACAATCAATTCATGAGCAAACAATTGTCAAGCCTAATAGAAAATGAAAACATATCAAAATTAATCAACCCATGGCTTGGTTGAAGTTTCACCCAACCCCTAGTTAAGTAACTACTCACAAATCATGGTTAAAAATAGCATTCCAACGTTGAACATGCAAGAACAATTAACAAGGAATATGAGACAGTGAGATTCATAAAGTATATATATTCATAAAATTAAAGAGAGAGAGAGAGAGAGAGAGAGAGAGAGAGAGAGAGAGAGAGAAGAAGAAGAAGAAGAAGAGTTACTACTTGAAGCTTCAATGTTGAGGAGAAATGTTGAAATTGAGAGAATAAAGCTTGAAATTATCTTCTACAATGCTTGAGTTTGAGATATTCTAAGCTAAATTAACTAATTAATTAAAGTTCTACATTGCCTATGAAGAAAAAGAGCCTAATAAACTACATCAAACTAAGAGATGAAAGGGCCTAAGAAGTTCTAAGTGAGAAGATCCCCATTACAAGTGAAGCCAAAGGGCTGGGTATTATATGACCCCCAAATAGAAGGACAGAGAAGACAGGGAAACAACTTGTCTACTAATCAGCTCAAACATACAGACCTGTTAAAATTAAGGTAGTAGCTACTGTCATGACCGGCACAGACGTGGTGTTTCAGGCAGAAATAACTTCACTTTGGAAGACCATAACTTCTTCGTTACTCTTCGAAATAAGGCATGTGACTAGTCGTTGGAATGCTCTTGAGATGAACTTTAATCCCCAAGTTTAATCACATTAAAATATTGAGTAAAAAAAAGAAATGGTCATTTGAAGTTGACCTTTGGCAAAATCCTTCAAAAATTCTTTCAAATGCTTTTATTTCACTCCAGGGAACTTTTGCTTGCTTCTTTGATTCTTCTTTCCTTGCTTCATTCTTTCATAGCTCCCTATTTTCCTCTTCTTGCCTACAACTTCTTTTCTTATTCATTGAAATTCTTCAAAGTGTCATCTTTGTACCTAAATATGCAAAAATAAAAAAAACAAGAGAAACTAATCTCGTGAAGCATGCAATAGGATACACAAAAATGTTGAAAAATAGAATAATTAGTGAACTAAGACATCAATTTCTCACAATACCAATGCTAAAAACAACTCTAAATCATACTAGATAACAAGCTGTCAGCCGTCGACGGTTACATGACCGACGGTTTTTATCGGACGGTGGATGTTGGTTTTTTTTATAAAAAATAAATTACACCTCACCAATGGTTTATACTAATATTTTTTAAAAAAAATTTAAAAATAAGAACCCAACCGATGGCTTTTAGTGGTCGGCCAAACTACACTATCATTTTAGAATATTTTGACCTTGCTGCCCTCTTACATTGAAGTCTAACAATTAAAGAAAAAAAGAGAGAGTGAGAGACATTGAGAAATCGAAACGACTAAGAAGGCGATGCATCTCCCTTAATTTCGACCGCCGAAATACACGCACGCGTCCCCTTTATCCGTCGTCCACCATCGTCCCTCCCAAGGTTTGGTTGTAAGATTTCTTTTTTTTTTTTTTTGGTTCAATTCCAAAACCTAACCTATAGGTGTCTCTTCCAAAGCCCTTAGGACCGTATTCCTTGCCTCTGGTAAACAAAAGATGGCTGGCCATCCGTAATGTTGTGCGCCAATTAACAACCCTAGATTACAACTCTCTCCTCTTCAATTTTGGTAATTGTTTGGTTTTCACTTTTTTTTTTTTTTTTTTTTTTTGTTTCTTGATTTTTAAATTTGATCCATCTTGTGTTGAATTATCAACAGTAATTTGTATTTTTGTTAACAATGTAGGATTAAGACTTTGTTTGGTTCAATATTAGTAAAGGAAAGAAAAGGAAAGGAAGGGAAGGGAAGGGAAGGGAAAAGAACAGAAGAGAAGAGAAAAGAAAGAAACTATATAATCTAACGTTTGGTTTGATACTAGTAAAGGAAGGAAAAAGAGAGGAATCTATTGTCTGGTATAACATTTGTAAAGGAAAGAAAGTGAAGGTAAAACTAATTTTAAGCTTAGCTTGATAGATTTAACTTATTTCTTTCCTCTCAAATTCCTCCAATTTTGGGAGGAAAGGAAAGGAAAGGAAAGATTTTGTAAAATGAGCTTTCCTTCCATTTCCCTTTAATTAATCAATTCCTATCAAATTTCTTTTAATTTTTTTTGAACCAAACATATGAAGCCATAGTTTTCCTTTCCTTTATTTTCCTTCCAGCCAAAAAAAGGGCCTTACACGCAATTTGACATTAGTTCTTTGGCATAATTCAAAGGTAAGTAGGCTAATAATTTTAAGGTTTTTGTTGATTTTCATAAATTACATGTGTATATTTTTGGGCATTTATTTTTAAATTAGGAATTGTTTATCCTATATAATTATATATTAGTTTATAGTCTTTATACTAACCTTAATTAGCTTATTTATATTCTAGTTTATATATAATTTTATACTAGTTTAAAGGGAAAATAGTAAATATCCACCCCTCAACACCAAAATTTGATTTTACAAACAGTTTTTTTATATTTATTTTATTTTTATTTTTTTATTTTTATTTTTTTTAAAATAACCACCCTATTAATTAACCTTTGATTTCCCCACCTCTTAACTAAAAATTACCGATTTCTGTAGTGCAACTTGGTCTATTAAGGTTTTGGGATCACTATGGAACCAATTTGAGGTCAAAACACCCAAAAAAAAAAATATAAAAAATGCCTCATTTTGAGAGTTTTATGCAGATCGAGATACTTTTAAACATGCAAGACGAGGCATTTTGAATAATTTTTTTTCAATTCCGACCTCAAAATGAACTCATAGGCCAAAGTGACCCCGAAAACTTTTATAGAACAAGTTTTAGCACAAAAATCGATATTTTTATTTGAAAAAATGAAACTAAATATGTAGAGGTGGTGAAATCTAACATTTTGCATTTTTGTAAGTGGTTATTTAAAATAAACAACAAAAAAAAAAATGGAAATAGGTGGTAAAATCAGAATTTGGTATTTTAAGGATGGTTATTTACAATTATTCCTAATTTAAATGTTAAAAGAAGTTTATATTAGTTGGACATAGTTTATATAGAGTGTTATTAACTTAAGAAATGTTTACATTAGTTTATAAAATAAGGTTTGTAAAGGTTATCAAGTGTTAAATTTTTATACGAGTTTAAAGTTTATAATTTTACTTTAGTTTGATTAGTGTATATAAGTATCTAAGTATTCCAGCATTTATATTTGTTTATGTTAGTGTATAATTTGTTTATTAGTTTACATGACTTATTTATAATTATTAGGGTGGCGAACGCGCGCCATAGCTAGCCTTGTTCGCTGAGCTTTTTTAGTTGTTGGTTACATTAATGAGAGAAAATATACATAAACAAATATTGTAGGGTATAAATATCCGCACACTATTCTATATAGTTCAACAAAAAAGAAAGACAATCAACATTAATGAAGGCAAAAAAAAAAAAAAAATTACATTAATTAAGACAAAATAAAAACTTGTATATATTAATGTGGGTAAATATTTAAATAAACATTTTGAAGGGTATAATTAGCAGTACACTATTCACAAGAGTGGATCTTATACTTTTTTATAAGGTAGGGATTTAATTGTTTAGGAAATAATGATTTCAGACGATTTTTATTGACAGCCAGTGCAAAGCTGTCGTAAATACGCCTAATTCTTGTAGTTGAATCGCATTTGCAATGAGATGACTATTCTATGACCATAATTACAAGGATCTAGACTTGTAAAACAACCTTGATTTTAGTGTAGAATAACTAAAACAAATAACACGAACAAGTTTAGATGATAGAAAGCCTAGGCATTAGGTTCACTAACAATTCAATGAATATCAAGCTTCAAACAAATATCACTTAAACATGAGTATGATCGCATTATCTAGGCAAATAAGAAAGTATGTTCTCTCAAATTGATTATTTCCCGTAAAAAAAAATCATCCCTCTAGCAAGCTCTAATGATTTACTAGTTTCGCTCTACCTATACTATTGTCACAAGTTTAACACGGTGTTTCTACCTCGCTATGCTTAACTCGGTGTTTACATACATATTCAATTAAACTTGGCAATTTTTCAACAACTTAATCAATAATAACAGATAATAGGGAGATAACATAAACTAATTCAAATTCAATTCACAATATATTAATTATATCAAAACATTTATAGACCCCCTTATCCATAGCATAAAACTACATGCTCACACCTATTTAAAGCAACTAACAAAATGAAAACGATAGAAAACGTGATTACAATAAATACTACAACTTGACATTTAATAATGAATGAAAAACAATAAAAATGAAAAAACCCTCTAAAATTACTATTGAAATCAAACCCCGAATGTGCTTATAATAAACTAAGTAGTGTGGAAAAAAAAAAAGATAAATTACAAAGTTAACACGACATCTACTTATATGGAAGACTATAAATAAAAGGCAACCTAAATGGAAGTCGACTTAGTCAGAGATTCCCCCCGATGACACTAGGCGGCCTCGCTCGCTCGGACATGCACTTAAAACTTCTAACCAGGCTTCAAAATCTTACTTTGGAGCCTCCCGAAATCTCGCTCTATGTAGGGGTGTTCAGATTCGGGTATCTGAAAATTTGGGTACCCGAATCTTCGGATAGTTGATAAGTCGGCCCGTGTCCCGTCCGGATAATTCGGGTACCCGGTATTATCCGGGACGGGACACGGGTACCCGGATTTTATTGAGCTACAACCAATGGCTTCAAACTGTGATAAATCTAAACAGGATACAAGATTGGATGTTGAATGCTAAAGATCAAAATTGAAAGATGTCTGTTCATGCATGATGAGGTTTTAGCAGATAAAATGTTATTTCAAAGTCCAATTTCATCACATGCAATTGCAACCAAACCAAATCCAACTGCTTCAACTTATAAATTGCAAAGTAAAAATAAGTAAATAAATATACATGAAACGCTTTGCTAATGTCCAAATTCTAGGCAGCCACCAACCACCAACAATCGATAGCCACAAGCCACCGATTCCACCGCGCACCAAAGCAGCCCAGCCACACCTGCCAAAATGCACATTCGAGCCAACATTAAGAAAATCAATAACTACCTCAAAAAAATACAAAATCTAACAACAAAAATTATACACTCAATGTAATTTAAAATTACAATTATATAAAGAAAAATACAAGAAATTAAAATCTGAATTTTGATAAAAAAATACTAATAATAAAACTAGATCTAAATTCTTACCTAAATTATATTTAGATCTTAAAAACGTTGGAGTGAGGTAGGACGTGGTTGTTCTGGGTTGCTTCGTGGCGGGTTGCTGTGGGTCTCCGGCGCAACCGAGTTATTCCTCCATTTCCTCGCCGAGAAATCCACGGAAATCGTCGTCGAAAAGAAGCATAAAAATATCAAACATTAAATATCCTTTGAAATTCCATCATCACAAATTTCATTATCACGAGGAGAGAGAAAGAGAGTAACAGGGGGGAAGAGGAGAGAGAAATAGTAGGATGAGGATATAAAAAGAAAGAGAAGAAGATAGGGTGGGTACTGGACTACTGGGTATACCGTATACTTAGTAAGTGGGCTGGGCTGGCTGGTTAACTTCTTTAATTTTTTTATTTTAAAACGGATATCCGGGTACTCGAGAACTAGCAAAGCTTGTCCCATGTCCCGGCCCACGAAACTGCTATTTTAACGTGACGGGTACCCGACTCGGAAAAACAGAAAAAATTGTAAATTTTTCATCGGGTAATCGGAACGGGACAACCGGGTCGGGTTTTTTTGAACACCCCTAGCTCTATGGCATCGGGTAACCTTGCCCACACTAGGCGGGTGGGGGTTAAAATATAGCACTCCTCATGACCTCTCTTGGATGCTTTAACATCTCGCCTAGTGGCAACGGACAACCTTGTTCAGACTGAACGGGTGCGGTAAGACCATTCTTTACATTCTTCAAAATGTCATAACTTTATTATTTATTGTCAATTAGGTGGAGTCGGATCGGATGAGGTCTATTTTAGAATTATGTCATCCTAAATTATTGTGTCCATACAATTAAAATATGAATCAGATTTTTTTCAGGTCAGATCGAATCGAGACAGTCCGATCAATTTTTAACACCTTCAGGGAGTACTCATTTATAACTATACTAAAATAAAAATCGCTTACATCATCATGGTACACATGTCAATTTGTCATGACAAATTTTCCCTCCAAAATTTCTTATTACATCATTTTTTCCATATTTTTTCCTTCCAAATTCAATACTGGAAAATAATTCTTAATAATAAATAAATAAAAGTGAGAATATCAATCTACCAAAAATGTATTAGTGATATTTTTCTGTATAAAAACCTTCATTATCCTGTATTTTATATTATTTATTAATTTTTTTTTAATTTTAAATCATGCGTCGTACTAACCAGTACTCTTATAAAAGAAATGTAGTCGTATTAAAAAAAAATGGCATGTACTCGGTATATCCGCTTGACAACTTAAAAAAAAGGGTCACATACCCGATAATTCGGATCGAAATGAGGGAATCAAGCCTCAAAAAGGAGACCCGACTTCTATTTTTTAAATTTTTTTCACGCGAGCCAACAACACAACGTGGTCAGAAGTTTTCCGTTAAACTTCGTTCTTTACACCTCACTATTCACACCTCTTGTTCAACTTTTAGCTGCACTATAAATCCTCTCTCAAACCCTAACTTTCTTCCTCTCTTCATTTCTCTCTCTTCTCTTCTGCGGCTAGGGTTTCTCCATTCTTTATCAGGTTTGCATTTTCTCTCTCCTCTTTTTTCTTTCTCTTATTTCAATTTTATTAGCTTATTGTTTGTTTTGCAATCGATGTTGTTCTTTACTTGTGTATTGATTTTGGTTTGACTGTTTTTGTGCTTTTGTTTTGTCGAATTTTTGTTGTTGATTTCCTGTAGTTTGATTGGTTTAAGCTTCAGATCTGATGAAGTAGATTAACTGTTGAATTTTTTCATGTTATGATGTATGATTGTTTGGATTTATCATTGTTTTATGATTTTTTGTAGCTCATGTTTTGTGGATTAATTGCTTCATTTTTATATGAATCCTGGTATATCGAAGTTATTGGATTGTTGAACTGAAAAATCGGTTAAAATGATACATGATTAAAGATTTGTAACAGAGTTCTAAGTATTTGGTGTTTTTAGCTGATGAACATGATTTAAAGTTTAAGAATTTAATGGAGTCTGAATCCTGTGATCTTGATTCATTACTTGATCTTAATGCATTACCTGATTTGACTTTAAGGTTTAAGAATTTCATGATTTAAGGTTTAAGTTTTTTTTTTTTTTTTTTTTTTTTTTGACTTTTTTGCTTTTGTTTTAGTGTGAAATAACTTGTGTATGTCTGCCAGTAATGTAAACATTTGGTCTAGTGATCAGAAACCTGTGGAATAACTTGTGTATGTCTGTTGAAAGATTTGAATAAATGATATTGTTTCAAGGATGGTTGTGAAGTGACCTTTTATCTATGAGGAGACTTGCTGAATTGCTGATATGAAATTGCATGCTAATTTGGTGTGATGGAATTTGTATATATCAGAATCTGTGCCCCAACGTTGTAAATATTATATGCATAGTGAGTGAACTTGAGGTTTCAGTTGTGGAGTGCCTTTTATTTCGTTTTGATGCGATGTGGCCTTTTGATTTGTTGCATTTTATTTGACTGCTAACTCAATGATCTTTGATTTCTCAGTTTTATACTCTATAAGCCAACATGGGTAAAGAAAAGATTCATATCAGTTTGGTGGTCATTGGCCATGTCGACTCTGGAAAGTCGACCACCACTGGTCATTTGATCTACAAGCTCGGTGGTATTGACAAGCGTGTGATCGAGAGATTCGAGAAGGAAGCTGCTGAGATGAACAAGAGGTCCTTCAAGTATGCATGGGTGCTCGACAAACTTAAGGCCGAGCGTGAGCGTGGTATTACCATTGATATTGCCTTGTGGAAGTTTGAGACCAACAAGTACTACTGTACCGTCATTGATGCCCCCGGACATCGTGACTTTATCAAGAACATGATTACTGGTACCTCCCAGGCTGATTGTGCTATCCTCATTATTGACTCCACCACTGGAGGATTTGAGGCTGGTATCTCCAAGGATGGTCAGACCCGTGAGCACGCTCTTCTTGCCTTCACCCTTGGTGTCAAGCAAATGATCTGTTGTTGTAACAAGGTATAATTTAAAACTGTTTTTTGTTGATATGCAGTATAAGTCCTTTGATATCTGTCGGAGTTTGTTTTTGTTTTCCTTGTTTGCGCTGTTCTGATCATGTCCTGTTTTTTGAAATAGATGGATGCTACCACTCCCAAGTACTCTAAGGGTAGGTACGAAGAAATCGTCAAGGAAGTCTCCTCATACCTCAAGAAGGTTGGTTACAACCCAGACAAAATCCCATTCGTTCCCATCTCCGGATTTGAGGGTGACAACATGATCGAGAGGTCCACCAACCTTGACTGGTACAAAGGACCAACCCTTCTTGAGGCTCTTGACTTGATCAACGAGCCAAAGAGGCCCTCAGACAAGCCCCTCCGTCTTCCACTTCAGGATGTGTACAAGATTGGAGGTATTGGAACGGTGCCAGTGGGACGTGTTGAGACTGGTGTGTTGAAGCCTGGTATGCTTGTTACCTTCGGTCCCACTGGACTGACCACTGAAGTTAAGTCAGTTGAGATGCACCACGAGTCTCTTCCAGAGGCTCTCCCCGGTGACAACGTTGGGTTCAATGTTAAGAATGTTGCTGTCAAGGATCTCAAGCGTGGTTTCGTTGCTTCTGACTCCAAGAACGACCCTGCCAAGGAAGCAGCTAACTTCACTGCCCAGGTCATCATTATGAACCACCCTGGACAAATTGGAAACGGTTATGCTCCAGTGTTGGACTGCCACACTTCTCACATTGCTGTTAAGTTTGCTGAGCTCGTCACCAAGATCGACAGGCGTTCAGGTAAGGAGATTGAGAAGGAGCCTAAGTTCTTGAAGAATGGTGACGCCGGTATGGTTAAGATGATTCCCACCAAGCCTATGGTGGTGGAGACTTTTGCTGAGTACCCACCCCTTGGTCGTTTTGCCGTGAGGGACATGAGGCAGACTGTAGCTGTTGGTGTCATCAAGAATGTTGAGAAGAAGGATCCAACTGGAGCCAAGGTTACCAAGGCTGCCTTGAAGAAGAAATAGGCTGTTTGAGCTGTCTGTTTTTGATATTTGAAGGATTTCAATGAGCTTTTAAAATTGACCAGTATAAAGACTGAATTTTGGCATTTGACATTGAGGTTCTGCAATTGTATCGTTTTTAGTTGTAGTGTCCTGACTGTTGTATTGTGCTGATCATCTGGATTATGTGCTGATTGACATTGGCAAATGTTTTCCTTTAAAATTTAATTTGCCTTCAAAATTTTTCGAGTTGTTTCAATCCTTGAGCAGTCAGTTGTTTAGCCTGTGTGTTTTTTGCTGCCAGTTGTTTTCATTTGAAGGTTGTGAAAATTTGGTTAGCTTGTGTATATCATTAGCTCGTATTGGGACTTGGGAGTTTTTTTGCAGGAATTTGTTGATCCAAGTGAGCTAATAATCTGAGTGAAGCTCTCTTTGGTCATGATGAACCAGGTTAACTTGCATTCCTTGTTTTAGGCGGGTTTTCGGCCCATTTTGGGTTTTGGCTATGTACAGTACTTGCTTGTCCCGGAAGGCCGGAACTGACAAATCGTTTACTTTTGGTTCTAGGTTTTTTCCCTACTTTACCCATGCTATTCCTGTTATTGGTGTAACGTAACAATTAGAGCCTGCCTCTTTCCCATTCATGCTATGGCAGCCTCTTTCCTCCCCTATGACTCTTTGATCACCGGCATCCGGCCCTCTATCATGGCCAACCTTCTTTTTACTACGTCGCAAGATGGCTTAATGATATGTTATATAGCGAGGACAATGTGTGGTGCCCTTTAGGTCTCCAGTCTCCACATTGATGTTTTATGCCATAGTGTTAGCCCTGTTAGAGGTGGTGATGATCGGCTTGTTGGCTTTCGTGGTGGTGGGATTGTGGCAACAGTTTGTTCTTAAAAGCAGTTGTTTCTTCCTTGTAATTTTATTCATCATAGTATTCATAATATATAATAAGTCTACAGACATTGATTCTAGATTCTAATTTTTTTTTGTCTATATGAGATTATGAAATTATAGTATTACACTTCTTTCATGTTTTTTTTTTTTTTGTGAAATAAGAAAACGTGAGTTATTATTGCAAATTAAATTCAACCAAAGCAACCCGCTACTTTTGCTGGATTTGCTAATTTCAATCGTCCTACTCTCCTCGACTCCCTAATCCCAAATGCTTTTGCGGTTGGAGCATTTCTCTGCATTCTTGCGCTCCTTTCTGTTTCAGCTGAGGTAATGTTCTACAGTATTTTTTTACTCTCTCTGTTTCTTATTACTCGCTCTATTTTGCAGTTTTGTACTATTCGTTTGACTAATGTTTGTGATTAATTCAGTATTCTACAAATCACGAAGTATTAATTATCAGTTGTTATAAATTATATAATTGATGCTTAAAGATATTAATGTTAGAATATTTTCAGAGAATTTTGGTTGGGGGGGGGGTCCAGGTGGTTGTTTGAGGTGGGTTTGGTTTGGGGTTTGCCAAAGCATCTGGTTTTCTTGTGGAGAAAAACCATTCTGCTGCAGCCCATATACAGTTGGATTTTAGAGTTTTTATGGGGGTGTTGAATTGCTTGAATACCCATGAATTCCAAAGGAAGCATATGGCAAAAGAGAATAAGGTTTTGTGTGGATGAGAGGTGTATTATTTGAAAGATTATCAGCAAGCCAAAGGTTGAAACTAATGGGGGTGTTGTGTACCATGTTGAGTTAATCCCATAGTTGAGTGGCTCTAGGGCAATTATGAAGATGTGTGCTCTAGATTCCGAAGTGTTCAGTGGCTCGTACCGTGTGAGTAGCCGCTCCTAATCTTAGAAAGGACATCCTTGTCTTATAGACTCTATCTTTTTGTTCGAGTTCTCATTTGATGGGATTCTATTCCGGGTTCATTTTCCTATACCCATTCTCCACATTTTGATTGTTATGCTGACATAGGTCAGTGGTTAGAGCCAACCTAGCTATCTTATGATCAAACTTACCTCTATTCACCCAATCACAAAACATTCTGTCATCCTTGAATGTTCATTAATTTTTGTTTAAGATCATCTTGGATTGTGAAAGAAAGCTCATTTTCAAGGGACTGCTTGCAATTCTTTATAGAGATTTAACTGTCTTTTGTGATGCTCATCAGCTAGAGGCAGGTAATCTCTAAATACCCAGCCACTTGTCTAGCTGACTTTGCTGAACTTTCTGATCAGCCGATTAATTTTCATAAATCCTCTCTATAGTCTTTTCTAACTACGTTACTAACCGAAATAAATCTATTTTGGCAAGCTATTTTAATATGACCCCTAAATCTTTTCTTGGCCGCTATTTGGATGTGTTTTTTTAACTCGACTAAGTTCATTAAGGATAATTTTCAGCATATCCTTTAAAGCAGATAAAAAAATAAACTCATGGTCTTCCAACTTAGTCTCCAAAGCTGGAAAGGTTGCTCTTATATATTCAGAGCCACCTTGAGGCTATACCTTCTTATGTTATGACCACTACTCGTTTACCTAATTCTGTTACTTCATCTCTTGATAGTTTAAATAGAAACTTCTTTTGGAAGCAGTCCCTGGCAAAGGCAGGATTACCTATGGTTGCTTCACTACAAGAAAATTGTCTTTGCACATATGTTTGTGAAATAGTAGTGGAATCCGTATCATTTTACAATCGACATAGTAACCCATATGAAATTGATATGAAAAACATAATTATATTTATTCACCATTTTTATGTACATTTATAAAATTATGGAAAAACATATCGTTTACAATCGCCACTAAAACCCAAAAATCGATACGAAAAGCCTTTTTTACACTATATTTAAAATTTTGTTTGACAAAGAGAACATAAAATATGTCATAGCTTCTTGGATAAAAATTTAATATTAAAGCTTGAGGTTGCATGTTTGAATCTTGTATAAATCATATGTAGGGTTTTTTTTTTGTTTTTTGTTTTTTTTTTTGTGTAGAAAATGAGTTCAACATTTGTAGTGATTATAATCGCTACAATCACCATAATTGAATGTTGTTTTCCGTATCGATTAATAAGGACAACCCCAGCGAAAGCGAAAAACACTACTAAAGGCTATGGCAACGACTGATATTGTATCGAATAACCATTCATTGAGATTTTTTTTTTGTTGCAATTACAATCGATACGAAAATGTATTTTTCTTGTAGTGCTTGGGATACAAGTTGTCAACCTAAATTCCATGGCGGTCTTGGTCTTCGTAAATCAGATGCTATTAACCCTGCTTTCTTGGCTAAACTTGGTTGGAAGATTATGTCTAACCCGAATAACTTATGGGTCCAATCTGTCACTGCTAAATATTTATGTAAATCCCAGTTCCTTACCTACTGTACTCAGCCTAGAGACTTTTGGATTTGGAAAAAGATTCTTCAAATCCACCCTCTCTTAATTAGTGGACTTCGGTGGAAGGTGGGGAATGGTTCTTATATCCTTTTTTGGGTTGATATTTAGTGTGCTCACACTAATATTATTGCCCTTCTCAGTTTGGATCCTGATCAAATTGCGAATATTGATATCACAGTTGATATGTTCATCACTGATAATAATACTTGGGACGTCCCTCTTCTCCTTACGGTTCTTCCCAATAATATAGTTCAAACTATTCGAGTAATCCCCCTCCCCTCCTCTCCTATTCTAGATGAACCTTGTTGGGGTCTCTTTAAAGATGATCAGTTCACTGTCAAATCTGCTACTTGGCTTGCTCATTCTCATGTTCATCCTACCTCTAAATGGGAATTTCGTTGGATTTGGAAATTGGATATTCAACCTAAAATCCAGATTTTCCTTTGGCAAATCCTTCATAACAACCTCCCTACTTGCCATACTTTGTCTTCACATAATATTGCTGTCACTAGTTTTTGTGCTCTATGTTCTAATCATTCTGAATCTTAGGATCATCTTTTCCTCTTTTGTCTATTTTCTATGGGACTTTAGTCTTCTTCTTTTTTCTTTTAGTGGCTTAGTTGCATCCCTCAGATTCATCAGATCCATGATTTTCCACTTCGCCTAAACTCTTTCCTAAGGTAGCTATCTTATTTTGGAATATTGAGAAACATCGTAACACAATTATTTCTAAGAACTCTTATGCTACTATTCATAGTATTTTTATTCGAGCTTTCTCTATGTTTCAGGAATGAGAATCTCGTTCCCTTCTTGACGCCATACACTTTTCGACTACGTCACCTCCACTGCCGCCTCCTCCTACCCCCCTACCTATTGTCTCGTGGTCTCCACCCCCATTCGGCTTTTGTAAACTTAATTTTTGATGGTTCAGCCAACCAGAATTCTACTACTGCAAGTGTGGTCATTCGAGATCACCTCGGGAATCACGTGACCAGTCGAACTTATAATTTAGGCTCTAGTTCGGCCTTCCTTGCCAAAACTATTGCCCTTCGTAAGGGCCCCCTTCTTGCTAAGGAATTTATTATATCAGATATTTTTATTGAAGGCGATAATCTTACTGTTATTAATATTTTGCAGGGTCATTTCATTTGTCCATGGAAACTTCAGCTTCTTATGGCGGATGTCAAGGCTATTTTGGATTCTTTTACAAGCTTTCAAGCAAGACAAATCTATCGAGAAGGCAATCGGGCAGCAGACTATGTTGCCTCTCTCGGCTACTATCGGATATCGATCCGTTTTTAGATAGTAAATTTTCTTATTTTTTTACTCCTTAATAGTTTAGGTCACAGTCTTATAAGAAGATATACCTAATATCCTCAATGTATTTTACTTTTATATTATAAAAAAAAAGCATCCCCTAAGGTTATACGGAGTCTAAACGGTCAATATTTTAACATGAAGCACCTAGCTGTTTTGGTTGTGCTTGATGAACGGTAGGTGATCACCTCGGCGAAGGCCACATTTCTGCTTCAAATTCATAATAGCTATGTAAGATTGTAAGACACTTAGGTGGCGTTTGGTTCGGATAATGGAAACGGAGTGGAAAGGAAACAAATAAGAGGGGGGAAATGAATCATTTAGCTATTACCTTTACATTTGTTTGGTTTAACTATGGAAAGGAATCAATTAAACTTTACTCCCTTTGTTCTTGTTTGGTCTACCTAATGGAAAGGAATCATTTGAAAATGCAACTACTTATAATAGTAAGTTTTTGCTATTTAATATATGAGCAATTTTACTTGATCAAGTTTTTTTTTTTTGGGAATTAAGCAAATATTATTAACAAAGAATGAAAGAATTACAACAAGTAACAAACATAAGCCCAGCAACACAAAAAACAGACACAAGTAATAACAAAATCAAAACCAGAACTCAGCCAAAAACACCAGCAGCCTGAGAACACATAAACACCAGACCAGAAAACAGCAGGCCAGAAACAGCCACCAACTGTACAGATTATATCATAGCATAAAAATACCATAAAAATAAGTTAGCTATAATATTAGACTGATTATATCATAGCATAACAAGTACTTTTTGTAGGAAACCAAACAAATGTATACTACAAAATTCTGAAATTCAAGAACAAAATAAGCCTTAATTAAAGTTTCAGAGGCCATACATTGTAGATGATTAGCAATACTCCCACCTACTTTTTCTTAAGGAGATCTAAAACATATTGTTTCTTCAAGTTAGTTGGAGCTTGAAAAAAGATTCGAAGCTTATGTTATTCAGCCATGAGAATTGTTGCCACCTCTAAAGATTCCGAAGGAGAAACACCATCCAATTTCATAACTTCTTCTAACACCTTATTCACTTCATCATCCATTTTTTGCTCCCTTTCTTCGGCTTTGGACCATGAATTTGCCATAGTTCCAAGATTTGCATTTATGTCCTCAAAAATTTTCCCAAAAGTTTTAGATGTATTATGAAGAGAAGCTACTAACTCATTAGCATCATCTACCTTTTGATGTGTCTTTCCTTTTCCCTTCATTTCTTTCATCTTTGCTTTTTTGGAAGGAGTATTATCATCCTCTTTCTTCATTGGCCGCTTATGGGATTGAGTTGTTGATTGAGTAGAATAGGTAGAATGAGTGGGAGAATCCATATAACCGTCTTCGTCACTCTGTATTGTCATAGACTGATTTGCAATCTCAACATTCATGTTATCAATAGCTCCAACAAATGATTCACTAACTTCTCCGGTTGCTTTATCTTTTGCATAGATTTCAGCAAGTGTCTCATAATGAGGAAAGGGTACTCCATACAACCCCTTTGCTTTCTTGTGAGCCTGCAATGTAAGCTCAGATAAGACTCTATTCCAAATAAACAGCATACTCAGCATACTCAGATCAGCATACTCAGCCAGAGTAATACATGCTTAGATAAGACTCTATTCCAGATAAACAACATTCATAAAAACAATAAAATAAAGTAAATCATTCAAACATGAACCTAACTCGTTTATCCGAATTTGAAATTCTACTCTCTGCTCCTCCCCTGCCTTTTTTAGATTATTCCCTTACAGAAATATAAGCTCAAAGCCTCAAAATCCATGTTACATAAAAATAAAATAAAAATCAGCTAATATATCTGCTTCTCATCATACTCACCTTTAGAGCAGATTTATACTAGTACTAAGCTAGCAATCTTACTTAAATCAGCTATGTCAACTTCATATTCACTAATTCATTTCCTGCTAATTATTCTCAGCCTAACATCAGCCACCTCTCTAAATACAAACTTAATAACAATAACATTATTGAAATGAATTTAATAACTACTCAAATCATAAAAAATGAAGAACATTAAAAAGCTTACTTACCTTAGCCCATTCATCAAATACAGTTTTCTCTACTTGCAACATTTTTTTGTCCGAATCCCATCCAAATCCAGAAGCAGATAACATCTCTGCCATTGCACTATATTTCTCTGTCCAATGCTTAATCCTTGACTCAATGTGTGGATCAGCTTTCAAGCCACAATTAGGTAGCACATATTTTATCATTTCTTCCAACTTATTCATGTAACCACTCTTGAAGCCACTTTCACTTTTCCATTTAGGATCGAGAGATAACTCATGTAAATATTTTATGAGCACCGTATCTTCCTCAAAGGTCCAAAAACGCTTATTCTTACCTCTTCCTCGATTGCTTCCCTCTTCTCCCATCATATACAACTTCAAGGAGAAAATTTACATATATCAAGATAATGAGTGCAAGAGTATAGGTATCATATGGTGTACTAGAAAAAAGTAAGTAAATTAAACATATCACTAAAAAAGTAAGTAAATTAAACATATCACTAAAAAAGTATGTAAATCAAGTTACAGGATTCTAACAGTTTGGTCTTAGCACTAAAGAGCATTCTAACATGAGGTGATGCAGCAGCAACATCTTGTAATTTGAACCCACTACACCGAGGATCTTGACTGCTAAACTCTTCTACCTCTTGCCCTCCACCCATTAAACATATCTTGTGCTAGTGTGTTTCTAAAATTGGTCCACTGATCTGAAGTTGCAACACTTGTAATATATTGAGGTTCATCATCAGAATCATCATCGGAATCTTCACTCAACTCTTCTTCCTCTATATCATCAGTAGGCATGACTCTTCTAATTAAGTTATGTAGTAAACAACAAGCCATCACGATACGACCTTGGGTGCGTATAGGAAAAAACGAGGGACTCCTAAGTATGCTCCATCTCCCTTTAAGTAAACCAAAACACCTCTCTACCACATTTCTTACCCTAGCATGTTTCATATTAAAATATTCCTCGGCACTTTCAGGTTGTTTATCTGTCCACTCTTTAAGGTGATATCGTTGCCCCCTATATGGAGCGAGAAATCCATCGCAATTAGTGTAGCCCGCATCAACCAAATAATAATTTCCTTCACAAAAATCAAAATAAGATAATCACTAGATACCTTACTAACAACTATAATTATACTCACAAAAAGCAAAAGACCTATTCCATTTACCTCGAGGTACCCTAAGACCATTTGGCCTAGAGAGAGCATTACGAAAGACACGTACATCATGGGCTGATCCTTCCCACCCCGGAAGCACATAAATAAATTCCATATTAGGTGCACAAGCACCTAAAACATTCATAGCAATTGTGCCTTTCCTTGTTCGATATTTTCCCCTTTCTTGTGAAGTCACTCTTACGTTAATATAGGTACCATCTACCGCTCCTAGAAACTCTACATTATAAAAGACAAAGATATGACTCATTTACATACATTACACGAAAATCTAACAGAAAAAAGAACATGAATGGAATTATACCTTGAAAGGTTGCCACCTTTCATCTTCACATTCATCAGATATCGCTATAGGCTTGTGCAATAAGTGTTCATGCAACTTCAAAATAGCCCTTAGACATAGGTTAAATTGTCGACTCACTGTTTCCCCACTTCTTAAAAAGAGATTTCCAATTGACCTATTCTTTTGATGATGAGCCAATGTGTACAAAAACATTGCAACTATCTCTTGAAGAGTCATATTTCTTGTTCCACTTAAACCTCCTATATCTCTAAGCATCTCACAAATAATATTAAAAGTACGTCTATTGACACGAAGCTCACTTTTACAGCTTACATCACTCTGTCTTATTAAGTGACTCAAAAATAACGAGCGTAACAATTTCCTATTCCTTTTCCTTTCATTGATTTGAGCCCCTCTAATTGTAACAACGCTCATCAAATACCAAATCCAAAACAGCATAAAAACTACAATAATCATTGTAATAACCAATTGAACTTGTTTTGCTCTTCTTCTTTTCCCAATACGAGCCATTTCAAGAACCTTAAAAATACATTCAATAGAAAAAGATAAGATTCTAGTGCTACAACAAAATCATGCAGCTTATATCTAAACATTCAACAGAAATAGATAAGATGCTTTATTATTGCCAATGAAAATATGAAAGAGCATAATTGTCAATAATACTAGCACGAAACAAAGTAGATGCTCTATTAGTAAGTAGATGTTTACTGTAAGGTACCATTATACACCATATTGTAAGAAATAAAGTGTGTTAATTTCTTTGGATAGGCTAGGCCATTATTATTATATAGATAGGTAAATTTACTTTAGGAGGTCCACTTCTTGAGAGGTAAATGATTTTTTTTTAATCAATTAGTCAAGAGTATCAAGTCTGGAAAATATCATAAAGAGCATAATTGTCAATAATACTTAATTAGTTAGTCCTAATAAGAAGAACCAAATCCATCAAGCTGATTTGCTAAATCTGTTATTGCTATCATTACATAGCAAAGACAACACATACACCCAACAGACAGTAGATTTAACAATAATTTCAGATAAGATCAATAAATGTTATTAACTGAATGAAAAAATTGGATAGTCCAAAGTAGCATTACCCTAGAGACTAGAAATTAACCAGCAATAACCAAACCAATTGATAAGTAACCCATCAACTTTTAGCATAAGATTAACCAAAAATCCCCCAAAAAAACTCAGAAAAAACTAATCAAAAACAGTATTCAGTGAAGCACATTTTACAGGTCCATATAATTAAGTTAAATTAGCACAAACAAGCAAGAATCATTAACCCATTAAAGCAAAAATGATATTATTAAAATTGATGAACTAATTACAACTAATACAAAAATGCTGTAATTGATAAAAGGGGAAAAGTTAGAGCATACAGAAAAAAAGAAAGGGAAGATACAGAAACAGCAACATAGTCAGTTGGGCAACCTCCAGATTCTGCACATCCTTTCATTTTCATAAATCTTATTTTCACAATTGAAATTACTCATATCTCTAATGTTGTTGCTGTAAATCTGATATTCTAGTGCTACGACTCTGGTATTCTGGCAAAAAATTCAATTGAAAAATTTAAAACTCAAATAAATTAGAAAAATTAGGGAAAAAAACTCTAGAAATTAACACCATAAATCGAAAATAGCAATCAATAAATAGATCAAAAATTCAAACGAAAATATAGATAAAAACTCAAATAATATTGCAATCAATCATGTATTTCGAGATAGAAAAATCAAAATATACAATCAATCAAATAGAAAGATTTATAAATTCAACAACAATTCAAAATCTAGGGTTTTGAGATAACATACCTAACTTGAGCGAAATCTAGAGGTTCGATAATTTGGGAACGAAATCTGCATACGTTGAGCGAAATCTAGGGTTTCGACATTTCTTTGAGAGAAGAGAGAGAAGAGGCTGTTGTGTGTTTTTGGGGTTAGAGGAGAGAAACGTTAATTGTTTCTCCAGTTTTTTTGAAGGAAACAAAGTAGTGGAATGGGTTTCCACTAAGAAACGTGATTTGTTACTTTACTTCTCAACCAAACGGATTCTAACGGAACGGTATCTGATTCCGTTTCCAAGCCTACAAAAATCCCGTACCAAACACCCCCTTAATATATAACGCAATCATAATAGCAGGAAACGTAGTTCCTTTTACACTCAAATTCGTTATGGATTCCCCAATGTAAGAGGATATCCTATTGTTTTCCTCACATACATAGTTTATAAATAAGAAAAAAGGCTGGCATTGCAGATCAAAACCTTACCACCGACGATCAAGTACCCAATTCTGTGAATAGGTGTTTGATGTTGGTGATGAGACTATTCTACAACCAACAAAATAAACACTACTAACTGAGACGATCAAGTCTCCATAGAAATCATATACCGTGAATAATGCAGACATTGTTCATTTCTTCTTAAGGGCAGCCTTGGTGACCTTGGCACCAGTTGGATCCTTCTTCTCAACACTCTTAATGACACCAACAGCAACAGTCTGCCTCATGTCCCTCACAGCAAAACGACCGAGTGGGGAGTAATCTGCAAAAGTCTCCACCACCATGGGCTTGGTGGGAATCATCTTCACCATGCCAGCATCGCCATTCTTCAAGAACTTAGGCTCTTTCTCAAGCTCCTTTCCAGATCTCCTGTCAATCTTGGTCAGAAGCTCAGAAAACTTGACAGCAATGTGAGAGGTATGGCAGTCCAGCACTGGAGCATAGCCATTTCCGATTTGTCCAGGGTGGTTCATGATAATGACCTGTGCAGTAAAGCTAGCTGCCCCTTTAGCAGGGTCGTTCTTGGAGTCAGAAGCAACATAACCACGCTTGAGATCCTTGACAGAAACGTTCTTCACATTGAAACCAACATTGTCACCAGGAAGAGCCTCTGGAAGAGATTCATGGTGCATTTCAACAGATTTAACCTCTGTAGTCAGTCCAGTAGGACCGAAGGTAACAACCATATTGGGCTTCAAGACACCAGTCTCAACACGCCCTACAGGCACAGTTCCAATACCTCCGATCTTGTAAACATCCTGAAGTGGGAGACGGAGAGGCTTGTCTGAGGGTCTTTTTGGCTCATTGATCAAGTCTAGAGCCTCGAGGAGAGTTGGCCCCTTGTACCAGTCCAAGTTGGTGGACCTCTCAATCATATTGTCACCCTCGAACCCAGAGATGGGAACAAATGGAATTTTATCAGGGTTATAACCAACCTTCTTGAGGTATGAAGAGACTTCCTTGACAATTTCATCATACCTAGCCTTTGAGTACTTAGGTGTGGTGGCATCCATCTGTTCCAAGAAACAAACCAAAAGTCAGAACTGACCAATCCAGATACCAAAGCACATGATCGTTAATATTCAATTATTCATACCTTGTTACAGCAGCAAATCATTTGTCTGACTCCAAGGGTGAAGGCAAGAAGGGCGTGCTCACGGGTCTGGCCATCCTTGGAGATACCAGCCTCGAAACCTCCAGTGGTGGAGTCAATAATGAGGATAGCACAGTCAGCCTGGGAGGTACCAGTAATCATGTTCTTGATAAAGTCACGATGTCCGGGGGCATCAATGACGGTACAGTAGTACTTGTTGGTCTCAAACTTCCACAAGGCAATATCAATGGTAATACCACGCTCACGCTCGGCCTTAAGTTTGTCGAGCACCCAGGCGTACTTGAAGGACCTCTTGTTCATCTCAGCAGCTTCCTTCTCGAATCTCTCGATCACACGCTTGTCAATACCACCAAGCTTATAGATCAAATGACCAGTTGTTGTCGACTTACCAGAGTCGACATGGCCAATGACCACCAAGCTAATATGAATCTTCTCCTTACCCATAACGACTTAGGAACTGTTAACCTGCAGTTACAGAACATTGAGTTAGTATTCAAATACACCGACAAGTGAACCCTCTAGCCTATCACAACAACTTCTCGGCCTTCCCTCATCGTAGAAAGAACCAAAAATTTCTCTACCATCCTTCAAATCCATAAATCATCAATTTCACAACGAAAGTTTACTTTAATAGAAATTGATCCCCCAAGGTCAGGGAGCACCTTTTACACCTCAGAATGGTTTTTGTTGCTACACAATTATATTGTTCATTCCAACAAGTTTATAAACATATATTCACAGCAATAATTAAACATCAAAAATACATATTAGGAGCCAATTTTACCAAAATTTAATCATTCATCATATTGCTGTTTAAACCAAAATTATCAACTTAAGTGGGTATATATATACCAGTAGCCAGGACGATAATTGTCTTGCTAAAACAATCACACATGAAGAACTTTCAGAGACAGAGAAAATTAGCTAGCTAAAATGACTTTTCTTTTTCTTAATTTTTTTTTTTTATTTATTTTTATTTTTTTAACAATCATACTATATTGCTGCTTAAATCAAAATTATCAACTTAAATGAGTATATATCAAAAGTAAGCATATAAAAATAAAAATTACCAAATAAAGTGAGTATAAAGTATAAACTCAATTAAATGTACATGTCAGAAGCCAATTTCCAAATTTACCAAAATATAGAACATCATCAAGATTGTTAATTAATCCCTCCGTCCCTAATAATTCTTGTTTCGACTGTAATTGTCAAAACATGAAGAACTTTTAGAAACGGAAAGAGTAGCTAGCTAAAATGACTATATTTTTTACAATCACACTGTATTACTGTTTAAACCAAAATTATTAACTAAAGTAACTACAAACTCAGAAGTAAACCTATGAAAATAAAAGTCAAAAATCAAAACACCATGAAATACAAACAAATTAAATCGACATGATCAAAATTCGTCAAAATAAAATCAAACACGATCAAAATCA